GCTTTTCAGAAAATGTTTACAGATCTTTTGCTAAATTACTTAAGCACCAAGGAGCATATTCATGCCACAAGAGTAGTCACACGTGCTGACGCCTGCAACAGTAACTTTTCAAAAGAAAATCTAAAACAAATGGCACATTCCTTCAGGTCATATGAGCGTGTGGGGCATCTGTACCCACATTCCGAGCAATTTCCGCGGTGCTTTGGCAATTCACAAAAAATTTATTGCGTGACTCTTCGACCTGTTTTCACCAGCCACCTTCTAATAAAAAAAGAATCGATTTACCAGCGATATCACGAAACTAGCGAGGCGCGGCTTGAGCGTAGCGAGTTGCAAAAGTGGTTTTATGAAATTCCAATTGCTCCTGTTTTTTTTTTACGTTCTTATAGTTATGCACATAGACCAAGGCCATACTTTGTGCAAATATATATAATTATCAACTTTAGACAGCACGAATGCCCAGATTTTTTTGCTGTTAGACGCGAGAAAGGCGGGCGCGAGTGTACCCGATTGCCGGCCGCACGCCTTGCTGCACAAAGTGACGTGACGCTTGGGCGGCGGGGAAAACTGGGGAAAAACTAGGGAGAATGATGTTTCGGTTAACTAGAGTGAATCTGGGAGAATGCGATAGCATTTCGGAATCAGGAAGCCATCCGCATTCAGATTATGCCCTTGAATTAGGTAGCTCGAAAAGTCGGAGTTCTCCTTTAAAGGGGTACCCGGCATTTTCTTCATTGTCCCCGATTTGCCTAAAACCTTGCTTAACACACCAACGAACATCGCTAAAATAGTAACCCAAATATTTGGCCAAAATAACTTTTTTTCGCGAAGTTACAGAATTTACAATTAGGGTCATCATCGTGTTTTTCAAAGTGAAAAGCTCTACTGGCAACATTGAAATAGTTACATCATGGGAAGGCAGGGGTTCATTCACTCTTTGGGCTGTAGACTTTGCTCTCAACTGACCACAAACAGTTTCATGGCGTTAAAAGAATGTTTTGGAAGGTTGCTCCAGCTCCCGCGCAGCACGAAACAAATGCTCGGCATAGATCATTTCTAGATAGCCCACTCGAACCGCAAGCCTGCCATCCCGTGACGCAGGCACGTAGGCAGGGGGGGGGGGCCATGGGACCTGGGCCCCACCCCGAAATCTTCCATTTTGCTGGGACCTCCTCTCCCCCTCCCCCTCATACAGCACTTTGTCATAAACAGGCCCCACCCCCCCCCCCCCCCCTCGAAACAAAATCCTGGTTATGTGCCTTCCATGATGTCACGGCAATGAAAAGCACAAGTATACCGTAAAATACCACGCACATCCGCCCATTCCACATTAAGCGCCCATTACCAAATTTGTGAGATCTGAGGAAATACGTACAGTACATTTATATGTAAAATTGATGACCGGACAAGCGCCCATCCCCCATTTTTTTGCAATTATCTCCAAAGTTTGAGTAGGCGCTTGCCCAGTATTTTACGGTATTTGAATCTTGGTATTGGCGTCATTTTCATTTGCCGATTTCATAATAAATATTTTGAGTTTCGTGATAGCAAATAGCATACCGGAAAGAGTAAAAGATGGCGATTTTGAAAATGTGGTTAGGTGGGGTTGCCCAAAAAATCGCTGGATTTTTTAAGCAGGTCTTTTTTCTGCGAACACGGCAGTGGTAGGAACATTACTTGTGTCGAGCTAGGGAAGCCATATTGGGGGCTACCCCAGCTACGTCCACACTGGCTTTCATGGCAGTTATGTGCAATGCAGACAGCTTTCACTATTTCAACCGAGTGCCTAGGCAAACACAGAAGCAGCCACATAAGACAATCAGGAAAAGACGCCGAGTTGTTCAGGCTAAGGAGGAAGGACATAGTGCAGCGAGCTATCTAGTCCAGGCTATTCCTCTGAGAAATGCTGTCGGTGGAAATGTAGGTCAGTTATTCCCGCCATTAATTTAGGTAACTAATGCAAGCATCACACTATTTTGCATCTTTCTCTACTGCAACGCTAGTCATCCGCAGCAGAAACAATGCCCCAAACTAAAAAGAAGTCTCGTTGCATTGTTAACACAGACATCAAGTCCATTAGGAAAGGCCAGCTGTGCCATCCACCTGTACATAAGCGAGCTGGAGTTCATCAAAGCACAACCGAGACTCTCTCAGAAGTACTTGGTTCCTTTTCAGTAGTTATTGAATGAAAACACAGTGCAGTGGTGATTACCATCAGCACAGCCTTGCCACTGCTGTCCCTCGGGTGGCACATGCACGACATGGCCTGCAAGCCACATATATCCCTAAAAGAAAGCTGCATAGGATGCACTTACCGTGGCTAGCGTCGCCACCCAGCGAGCTTGCACAAACCCTCTGCACGGCACGCAGAGCTGTTCAGAACAGAGCGGCACTGGCTAGCCAGTTAATGCGAAGGCTTGTAGTGTTTTGCTGCTGCCTTGGCAAAGCTGCAAGTCACCTCTTTCACGCCTTGTGGTGCCCATCAGCTTCAAAAGAAACGGTGTTGAATCGCGACCAGCTATAACCTGTCGCACAAGGGAGAAAAGGGTGTGAATGTGCAGACTCCTATCTGTTTGCTTTTGTCTAGCGCGTGAGTTTTGTTTGAGAAGAAAACAACAATGACACTTCTTTCACAGTAATATGCAAAACAAAAACGAGAACGGCTCGGTTATTAATAAGTTGCGTGCAGCAGAGGCACGGGTGCGAGTGCGTAGCTCCGCAGAATGTTCTTTTTGCACGGCTGCTCGTACAAAAAGGGCGCTTTTGTGCTCGGGCCTGTGCCTTTTCTGCACACAGCCTATGTTACAGAGTGTATAGCACGCCTTCGAGAGCACTCGCGTGCGGCGAGAAATCCATAATATACAGGGTACGATCGCAGGAAACCTCGCAGGGGTGCAGGAAGCTGCAAGTGCACGGTGCACCAGAATGTGAAACTAGAGGTGGTGATAGAATTTCAGTTTGAGAATATGACGTTACTTGGGTCAAAATACAGAAACGAAAAACGTAACTGCCTTACCGGCTGATGATAAGGGCCATCGGAGTACGACCAACTATTTGTTGTGATCGGGGCATTCGATTGGACGCGGGTTGGTAAAGATTTGAAAAACACGAAATAATAAAACATGTAGGGACGAAGACAGACAGCGCAGTTCTTTGTTGACATGAAATGTAAGATCAAGCACATTATTCTGTCGGATCAAATGGTTTTGTTGAATTAGGTTTAGCTCGCAAGTCAGCCGTTCTTCGGCGGGCTTTCAGCTTTCTGCGATGGTTGTTTTAATCGTGAACGCAGGCTCAAACATTGTACGCAGCGGCGCCAAATAGATCTGAAACGAAGAAAGAGCTCGGACGCGTGGAACGAACACACATAGAGATCACATCACAGGAAAACTCAAACCACTCACCTTTCGTTCGACGACGGTTCGTCAGGCACGATGTTTCCGATGTTTCTCCGGTTTCTCCGGGCGTTGAGGAGACCGCGTCTGTTTCCGTGCTCCTATTGGTCGTGACGTCACCAAATTTCATCCAATAAAGTGCGCGCCGAAGTTCTCTCTAGTCGCCGGTCTAACGTCGTGCTTGCAGCGGCCCCTGGTGTTGCTTGAAGGCACTACTCGCGGGCGTTAAATTTACTCATAATAACAAGAGCCATTTAATAAAGCTGCATTAATTGATTACTTTATTACAACATTCATCTTGCGGTCTAATAGGGGCGGTTTGACGTGTTCTGGTTTCGTGAAGTGTGCCCCCAAATAGGAACCGTGCGCATCTAATTCAAGCCCCGACCAGGGCGCCCCTAGCGGCAAACGGGTCCATCGCATCGGGGAGCTTCTGCCAGTCGCTGCGTTGGTTGTGCGTTGTAGTGGGTTAGCGTTGTAATTTCTGAGATGGCTATTCCGCACCAAGAAAGCCGCAACAATTGCTGCGTGGTCGGCTGCAACAGTACGTCGAAGATCGCACACGGCACGAAGTACTACATCGTCCCTTCGAAGCCGTACGGCCGTACGAGGCGGAGTACTGCGCGACCTGCAGGTGCGACTTGTGCGTCCATACAGGTTAGTGGCGTTTCTTACCTTTCTGTTCGCGCTTTGTTTAAGCTGCTGACGAATAATACAATTAACTTTTTTCTATTCTAGCGACGATGGAACAGCATCGACACCGACGGCAAACTCTAAAGTATGCGGCAAATACTTCACCGGAATCGAGAAGCGGAGTGCGGTCGCCCCCCTAAGCCTACACTTGGATGTTTCCATCAGCCTACAGGAAGATAGTAGTGGGAATCGCGGAACGGCGCGAAAAAAATCGCCCAGCTATTGTCAAGCTGATTCAGAAATAAACGTACATAATTACCACGGTCCACTCAACGCCAACTACATTTTTTTGCGGGCACGCTTAATTTTGTTAGCGGAGTACGGCGCCCCGTGACATCCACTTGTCCGTCGAAACGGACCTCCTTCACGTCGTACACGCGGCCAGATTCACGAAGGAGTTTTCCCTTCTTCATATTGGTACCACGGAAGAAGCTTTCTAGATTCGTAACCGCCTTAAACCCCGTCGTAATCACCCCGGGAACACTATCCGCTGTGCTAGCTGTGCTGCTCATCGCCATTGCTTCCCCCGATGATTCTGCACCGGCTACCGAAGAAGTTTTCCGGATTCGTAATCGCCCCCTGTCCTCTGTGGTGTTCGTTGCTATTACTTCCCGATGATTCTGCGCCGACGGCACCGGCTACCGAAGGAACTTTCCGAACTCGTAACTGCCTTAAATTCCTTCGTAATCACGACGGGGACACTGCCTGCCGTGCTGTTCGTCGCCATTGCTCCCCGATGCTCCTGCGGCGGCTACCGGTAGGTCGCGGCGAACAATAGGCGACCGCCGCGACACGGCCGGCATGCTCGCTTCCTATAGGCCGCTTCTGAGCGAAAAAATGTCCTCCTTATCAGGAAAATCTTTGCCTCCTATCAGCGTTGATAAGGCCAAAACTTTTTTCGGCCAACTTCACTGTCTATCTCTAACGGCCAAACTAGGCGTGGCACTTCACTAACGTCGTTCGTTTCAGCGGTCCCCTGGTGTGTCCAGAAGGCTCTTGTCGCGGGAAATTAATAGTGTAAGTAGGTGTTAAATAAAGGTGTTTATTGGTTAATATTTATAATATTAATCATCTAGCGGTCTCATAAGGACGTTTCATGCGTGTGCTGGTTTCGTGAGGAGCTGGAAATTATAAATGTTTGTTAGGCGTGAGCAGGTTGCTAGACGCTCTGGAAGTGGGCAGAGCCGTATATGTGGAGAGTTTGGCCATTTGTTGGGAAGTATAGGAGACAAATGAGGAGGCGTCATTGGCCGAAAGCGGGCTGGGCGTGTTCCAGGGCGTCTTCAGAAATTCGAATGTGACCAACCAGAAGCCGGAAATAATACCCTGGTGGTGGTTGCGAGAAACAAACCTGATAACTGCATTGGAGTAACTCTTGATGGCTGAAAATATGGTACACGCGATGTTTTAATCACGCTCATCCAAAATGATGGTGGAAGAATGCGACTAGCGGAACGATCGACATAATTCGTACGCCAAACGCCGAGCGCCGGGAATCTGCCGTCAGAGCGGTCACACTCTGTCCGCGCAAAACAGAGTTGAGCGGCGCATTCGTTTCTTACATCTTTCTGCATGATCATGATGAAAACAACAAGTGCACCCTATTTTCAATCACAAAGAGTAAGTACACTTCACTCTTACGCACTTATTAAAACCATATACGAACATAGACCTTCGATGATCGATCGGCTCAGAACTGTTTCTCGCTACCACCGCTAGGGGATTCTTTTCGGCTTCTGGTTGGTCAAGAGAGCATGCCAAGCCCTCTTTCCGACTCTACCGCACGCCCTGACTCTGCCCGCACCTCCCATTGACCAAACTCTCTCAATACACGGCTCTGGAAGTGGGCTTTCGCTGCTGAACTCTTGATCAGGTGGCGGCTTGCGCCACCTAGGGAGTGTTTCGAATAACACGAGTTAACTTTACTGAATAACTGAAACATGGTGGTTTAGCCTTTAATGCTAGTACTTAAGTGTTTCATTGGGATAGCGTCTTCACGGGGAAAACTGGAAATACGCGTCTCACCTATCTTTTTGTTTGTCTAATTCAACACTGTAGATTATAGCGTTTTTAATCACGTTTGTCTTCTAGTGTTGTTCAGGTGCACTCACCTTGTGACAATAATGATTGCAGTCCACGTTCATCGGCACTTATAATTCACGGAAATACTTTAACAAAGATGCTATCGAGGTAAATGGAATATTCCTTGCGCTTGAGGACCTTTCGTGCAGATGGAAATATAAGAGAAACGGTATCTTCTTTTGTTTTATAGCTTTCGTTCGTATAGGCGCAATCTTGGATATCGGGGCCGGATTGAGCTAGTGTGAAGCAAATGCACACAAGCGTTTGCAAACAAATGCACAAGACCAGTGGAAACGGACGTGCAGGACAAACGTGCTAATGTTTATTCGGGGACACAGCCGAAGGTCTTGAGGTCTTTTTGCAGACTGGCAGGAACTTGAGCCGGGCTTGAATATTGAAGGCTGGAAGGTAATAAGACAAGAAAAAAAAAAAAAAAAGGATTAAGCCTTATGGCACATTTTAAAAATGTCGGCGCCAGATTACACTCTTCAGTCTGGATTATGAATAAGGGGCCAAGAAGTAGACCAAAAGATAGATTTTACGCACGGTGAAATGAAAGAAGAAAATGTATGCACTCGTAGACTTTCAATTAGGAGGGGTAGCAGCTAAATAAGTTAAAACTGAATCTTGAAAAGATTTTGTTGCATTATGCCGGACATGCATGTGTATGATGTATCAATGATTTTTAGACGCTCGATGCTTAAGGACAAGATTATGCTCCTTTACATAGGATGAATCACAGCGAACGCTACAAGCCACCAGAGCCAATCCTTAGCACGTAGGGTAACACGTGACTTTCCGGTAGGGCGGAGCGACGCGCGGAGCGCAAATTCACATGACACCCTCCAAGTTATGGGTTGGCTCCGGTGGCCCGTAGCGTCAGTTGCGATCGAACTTAATGCTTTAATCACGCTGGCATAACATGGAGACATCCAAATGTTCACAAAGAGGACGCCACGCGCCAGCGGATTGTGGTTCACGCTGCCCTTGTCATCTATAGGTGAAACGAACAGCCGCAACGTACACATTATTCTTTTTAATGGACCGTTTCCCCAATCTGCGATAAGGGTTCCAGATAACACATCAAAGGTGGGACCGCTCGTCATCCGACAAAGTAAACCTTGGACTCGTTTCCGTCTCCTACGCCTTTCTGCGGGCTCTTGCGGGTCCACACCTCGTAGTTTCTCTAAGCACTGCGTTGGTCGGAAAATGAGTGACTTATAGGGAGTACATCTCAGCAAAGACCTGGTATACTTGTGGTGATGAGTCTGAAGAGTGGTTCGCGTGACAGGAAGACTAGATCGTCCAAATGCAAGAATGACGTCGAAGGCCTTCAGAGCAAGGACACATTAGAATGGTATGTGGTAATCACTTTAGCTCAATTGATAGTGTCCTAGAATCCATGGTACAGTCTGGCCTAAGAGGGCCGTTGTATTCCGTCGGATATGCACAAGCTGAAATCTTTGTTTCCTCCTCAAAATGTTTTGTTATTTTTAGCTCGCGCTTCGTAGGAGGCTGGCATTACTGCCTGGTCAGGGGAAGCACCAAAAACGCGCTGGTTCTTTTGCGCAGGATGTCGAGCAACTACGAGCAGGCTCCTGGGGTTTGTTTACCGAGATGCACCCTGTACCAGCACTACTTGGACAACTGCCGCCGCAACCACTGGAACCCAGTTGGAGCTGCTGCATTTGGAAAGGTCTTATGTTCATTCACATCACAAGCCTTACTATAGTTCGTTGCAAGTTAAGAATAGCAAAATAAGCTCCTGCTACAAAGCTCTTTCCACTTTAACAGAGACGCTGGGTAGCAGGCAAGGGTAAAGGAGGGAACAACCAATAATGGCGAGTAAAGAGCTTTGGGGGAGGCTTCTTTTTCCCTTCTTGCAACGTATCATAATGGATCTGATTAAAGTAGAGTATAGCCCATAGTTTTGAACAAGGAAAAAAAAAAATCCGGTAGAGGAAGCTATAGAGTTGCCGCAAACCTCCGTGAATGACAATTCGCACATCCAGGCCGGTGTACAACTTGTGTGATGTTCTGTACATGGGCATACTGAAATCACGCGCTCTTCCATACAACCACTGCAGCCGTCAATACATTTTTGTTGTCTCAAAGGCTTTAGGAGGGCGTGATATAATTTTAAAAGAAAATGTGCCGTGAAAAACGCTTTCTAGAGCGCGAAACAGATTGTACACTCTAAAAAGAAAGGGTGTCGTCTTACACCCTTTTGTTCCACATAATGCATCCCAAAAACTTCAGTTCGACGTACGGCGCACTGACGACGGACAGACATCCCCAACATCTACGAGGGGCTTGATAACGGTGCGATAAAACTTTTTAAACAGCTAAAATACGTATCAAAGACTAAAAAAAAGGAGCGTTGAAGTTTTGCAGCAAGGCCAAGAAAAACCCGACCATATACATATATATATATATATATATACATATATACCCTTTTTTGTTTTATTATTAGAGTGTATGTACTACTTTGCACGTAATCTTGTTCCTGCTCGTACGGATTTCAGTTGATTCGACTCCGGTTTCCCAAAGTCACGACACGAAGGCTGGGGACTAGGGGTCAGTCAAGGTAAGCCAAGCGATATTTTTTCTCTGTTCTTCATTGTAGATTTTTCTACTGTTACGTTCCGATTTGACCCGAAAAGAACACCTTTCTTCGCTTTAGTCCCTGAGAGAAGTCTCATTTGTGCCTGAAGGTTCCTTTATGTTTAAGTATACCCTATGCGTAAAGGTGCTATTAAGGGCGGGGCCCTCGGGTCGCGGGCATATCTTTCGAAAGCCATGTTGTTAGAACTGCGCAATCACTGATAAACATCAAGTTTTCTGTTTACGTTCTCTCGGTTCAAGGTATCACTACTACGGCATCGGCGTAAAAACGACGTCCATCTACTACGGCCAGGCCTACTGCGGGAAAAACATTACGAGGCAAGATTTCCGGCGCTTCGTAAAAGTGAAAATTTGAGTATAAACATTCTGCTAAGAAGAACGCACTTTCGTTTCCTACAGATTCTCGGGTCAGAAAATCAAGCGAACCGAGGTAGGTTTAAAATGGAGGCAATACATGACTTGCATTGACATCATATCGGCATCCATTGTGGTTGAGTATACGCAGAGCGCGTATTTTCTGCGGAATGCATTTCGCACCATCGAATTTGCATTTTCTCGGCAAGTACCAGTAAAAATGGAATCCCGGACAAAAGCTCACCGGACAAAAGCTCGCCGGACAGAAGCTCACCGGACAAAAGCTCACCGGATAAAATCTCACCCATTTTTTTCACAGACCCGGACAAAAGCTCACCTGGAGAAAATTTCATGTTGGTCTTAAGACGAGCGGACAACTTAAGTGCATGCGTGCGACACTAAAATGCAACGATAAATTAAATTTGACAGGTGCATGGTTTGTTGATTAGAGTAGAAACAAGTTTATTTATCGATTGGTTAGAAGCGAATGAAGTCCACCACTAGCTGCAGCAGTCTTGGTAGATCTCGGTACGTGTATACCTGGAACTCCTCGCAAATATTTTTTCAGGTGATTCTGCGGGCGCAGAGTTGTTTTTCGCAAACGCTTCCCTGGGGGCTCACCTCTCCGGGCTTGTGTGAGTGCCGTGGCAACGAGTGCCTGATTTTTCTATTCAATCAGCCTTAAGACGCTTGGATGGGCGTGGGCGACAAGCTTCTGGAACCCGTTATTCCATCCTTTGTAGGTGTTGCTCGTCCGGTCTTTATCTTGAAGAGTGGCGTCTCGTTGCAAATATGCCATGGGATAGCCATGTAAATTATTTGGTTTCCAAATTTTCACGCGTTGTTGGTTTAACGTATATATCGCCACAGCCAACTTCTACCAGTTCGCGTGAAATTAATTATTTACCATGCACTGTTTTACTCACTCCTCAGTTATTGTAACCTTGTCTGGGGCACAACAGCGGCATGCAACCTGAACAAAATTTATCTGCTTAAAAAAAAAAAAAAAGTTAAGAGCCATCTTCAACGCGCCTTATGACTCTCACACTGAGAATAGGTTTAGTAATCTGCAAATATTAAAATTCATAAGCTATCTGATTATAGACTTCTACTCACCATTAAGAATGAAATTAAAAAAGAAAGTGTTCTTTTAAACGAGATAGTTAGATTAGAAAAAAATATTACGATTTACTTGACTCGCCATAATGAATATTGGAAAGTTCCCACATGCAGGTCAAATTATGGGCAACAAATGCTTCGGTATTTAATTCCAAAGCTTCTAAACTACTTTGAAAAAGAAAATAGAAATATAGAAACGATATCTCCTAAAGGGTTGCGTAATATATTTTTACTTATTTAAGTGTTCTGTGTCTTGTTTCTGTTATCCCATTTTATAATGTATAATTTTCTGTATGATTTTCTTTTTCTTTTTCTCATTGCACGAAAACTGTTTGTTCACTGGCTGCCGATAGGGCTGAGGGCCAGCCAAGCTTCTTGTTGAAGCTTTTCGCCTTTCGCTCCACCATTTCTTTAAATGGAAATAAAGATTATTATTATTATTATTATATTCCTCCGCTCCGGGGGAAACTCCGGTCGTCGTCGGCGCAAAGTCAGGCAAAGGGGAGAACTCGCCCTGGGTGCCGACGCAGAAGGAGCAGAAGCATAACGGAAGGGGCCGTTGACATACGTGCAATCAAAGTACTTTAGCGGGTCACCGATGTCACCGATAGACTTTTCCCTGATGTAGGTTAGTTCTTCGGGCACAAGCTGTGGTGGAAACAACACCAGATTATCTAAAATCCCGCACAGCTTTCTAAATTAATCATCTGTCTCGCACTTGTCCAAAAGGCCCACTTCGCAACTCAAAGGTTTGTATATTACAGTTTCGCTTCAGTTTCCCTTTCACATAACACTGAGATAATAATTTATTTCAAATATATTTACGACGTAAAATGACGGATACAATTTAATTTTCTTAGCCATCCACTTCAAACCTTACCCAAGCACAATGAAAAAGCGCGGTTACCGAAGGGTGAGTTCGTTTTTTTGGTCCCAAATCGTTGCTCCTCTGCCTATGGCTTATCTGTCGACACCCCGGCATGGGATGGGGTGGTACCAGTTCTTCTAAAAATTGTGCAATTTCCATCGCGTCCGCACTTTATCCCGGCCCGTGTTTCACCCGGGTAGCAAAAAGAAAAAAAAAAAAAAAAATAGGTGAGCTTTTGTCCGGGTGTGTGAAAAAACGGGTGAGTTTTTGTCCGGTGAGCTTTTGTCCGGTGAGCTTTTGTCCGGTCAGCTTTTGTCCGGTTACCTTAAAAATGATCACCGGCATGATGCGATAACGTCGCGGACAAGCCATGTATTGAGCGGCATTCTGAGGTGCAACTGTTGCGATTACTACTTCGCCGGAAACAAAACAAACTTGTCCAGACAAGGTACTTCCATCGTCCCGCTGTAGCACAACGTCGAAAGGAGATCCTGGATGCAGCGCGGCAGACGCCACGGGTGGAACTTCTGGCCCGAACCCCAAGACCTCCGAATCCCGGAATATATCGACAAAGATAAGGTATATTTGACATTTACCACATCAGTAAGGTACATAGTAAGCTCCCATGGCACAGTCATGTGTGATGTCAGGATCGCATTACCTTATGTAATGCCCTAACTGGGCCTTTGAGGTGAAATAAATGAAATTAAATGAAATGAAAGTACACGGTTTTGTTAGGTTTTCGTTTTCGTCAATGTCGCTTTTCGTCATGGTATAAGGCGTGACGTTTCATTATCCTGGCGTAGCATCGGAAACAGGCTGATTGGTTCCCGATGCGCAGTGCGTGTTTCTTCCATTCTTTTACGTCATCTCTCTCTTTCTATCGCTCTCCTATTTCAACGCCGCACCCCCTCCCCCCCCCCCCTCCCCACAGTCCCCACAGTTTAACGCCGCACCCCCTCCCCCTCCCCCCCCCCCCTCCCCACATGAGCGAATTACACGCGGACACGCCTTACGTATGTTTGTCCTATATACATACGTATGCTTCGAAGATGTCTAAAGACAGTTATTTTGTTTTGTATGGTTAAAAAAAGGGACAGGGCAGGAAAAATAAAACACGCGTCGGACAGTATCTACGAACTGTCTTCTTTACATGATGCATTAGCATTAATGTCACTTACAGCTGGACAGCTTTCTGGCCATGTACCGGGCCCACTGCTGCAGTCTCCTGGATGCCGTGATCGCCGCCAACTTCGAAGCCGTGGGTGTTTCATTGCTTGTCCTTGCTTGCACAATGTTTTCAACGACCTGCGTAGAATCGCCAAAGACGGCGAAATATATGCTATAGACCAACTCAGCAATTTGAAGTCACACCAGCACGGTGATGCGCTGCTGTCGGCATTGCGCGTGCGCAGATCCTCTCACGCGAATCAGCTTTCTGCGCAGGCGTATAAACTCGCCACGCCTTGTGTTTCTGTCAGTGATAACAACTTGTGAAATGTGTTTACAGGTCAGAGACCTCGTGCTCCACTTCTGGACTAGCATCTCGGAGTCCACGCTCGCCTTCGTGTCCCTGGACGTGGTTCTGGACGTTGTGACAGTTTGGGACAGCTACCTCTACGGGGTAATCAGGATTTATATCTCGCGTCCGACCGCCTATAGATGTTTGCGAGTGCGGCCTCTGGGCGCTGCCATCTTGCTGCTGGTATGGATAGGTCGTCTGATAGTCAAGCGTTGCTGAGGCGTACCCACGGCTTCAGCCAGTGCTTGACTATCAACAATCTGCCCACACCAGCAACAAGATGACGGCGCCCAGAAGCCGTACTTTCAAACGTCTATTGAGGTTTGTCTTAATTAGCAACGAACAATTATTGGAAGAAGAGCCTCTTCAGGGCGGCGGGTTGGCTATTCGCAACTCCGAGGGAGGCGACGCCGCCCGGTGGAGAAGACGTGAACGAGAGAAGCGGGGAGCTAAGATTCAAGTGTGCGGCGGAAACGCAGCCAAAATGTGAAACAGGAGAAAGGGGATTAGATGAACGCAGTTGGAATTTCAGACCGGGAAAGGTCATGAACAAATATTTATCAATCAAACTTTTGAAACGAACATTTGTTTTTATTCTCGATTTCGCCCATGAGATCGCACTTTGAAACCTAAAATAGATAAAAAATATAACACGAAGTGTATTAAGGTGGCGATGCAGGCGTGTTGATTGATGACTAAATGGAGAAAGCAGAGCAAAAAATGCAAATACCAGTAGAAGAAAAGGACGGGACGAGCGCCCTCAATAGTTGATCACATTAAAGCCTCCGGGCATAATGCTTCCTAATTATATATGTGGACGGTTTCATTTGGGATTCAGGCAACGAGGTGCAGTCGTATTTTTTATTTTGCTTCAAATTTTTATATTTCGTGGCGTATGTTCCAAGAAGAACAATTCTTTTTTTTTTATTTTAATGTCATAACATCTTTAGTTTCCGAAAAACAATATCTCAAAAAAGCAAAAAAAAAAAAAATTAAAAATGTTTTTTTTTTATACAGCGTGCTGAAATGGAACGAAAAGTGAAAACCTTCTTTGTTTCATAATTTATTTCTCAGTACTCGTACGTGATAAAGGCAGAGACTTAGCTCAATTTGGAAAGCAGTGAAAGGTTCTACACGTGGTATTATTTTAAAAGCGATACTAAACATGGTCGACTAGAAAAAAAAAATAACCGCAATTAGGTTACAGTTGTTCGCGGAGGCATGTTTGGGGATTTTTACAAAGATTGTATCGACGAATAATAAATAGTAGTTGGAATGTCGTTTTACCGACTTGCATATATATAACAATAAAAAAATATAAAAGCTCTCTTTTGAATACTTTGAGATTGAGAGTGGTTCAGAAACGCCACACACGATAATCGTCAAAACCCACCATCGGCATTTGCTCTTTTTTTAGCATATTTAGAGGCTTAAAACTCAAAACCAATGCATATACATACAATGCAATACATAAATTAATTTTTTTTTACACAGCGCGCTGAAATTGAACGAAAAGTGAAAACTTTCTCTGTTTCATAATTTATTTCTCAGTACTAGTACATGATAAAAACACAAATATTGTTTAATTTGGAAGGCAATGACCGGTTCTACACGTGATAATATTTTAAAAGCGATACTAAACATAGTCGACTCAAAAAAAAAGAAAAAAAAGGAAGAAATCTGTAATTTATGTCACAGTTGTTCGCGGAGGCATGTTTGGGTATTTTTACAAAACTTGGAGCGACGAATAATAAGTAGTAGTTGTTATGTCGTTTCACCTACTTGAATATATATTACACTAAAAAGATATAGACGCTCTCTTTTGAATACTTTGAGATTGAGAGTTATTCAAAAATGGCACACACGACAATCGTCAAAACCTCGTTGTCCTTTCCCACTTTTTTGAGATCTTTTTTTTTTTCTCAGAAACTAAAGAAACTAAAGGATATTGAAATAAAAAGGATTGTTCTTCTTAAAACATGCGCCACGAAATAAAAATAAAAAAAAATTGAGTAAAAAAAAAATACGACTGCACCTCGTTGCTTGAATCCAAATGAAACGGCCCATCTATATATATTTGTTAAACAAAATTGGACCCGAGCAATACGGTTTTGTCGGACTGCAGACTTTTTCAGCATAAACATGTATCCACAGTTGGAGTGTGGAACATACGCTACTGTCGTTTATCACTGGGAAAGTTATGCAAATCATTTTGGTCAACTTGTGCATGTAAATTATCGGAGTGAACTAAATTCCTACAAATAGGGTACATCTAGAGATGGGTCGACTTTTACAGGTTATGGAAGAAATCCTGATGCCCAAGGAAATTCAAGATATTCCCGAAAGGTGAGACATCTGCGTGGCACAATTATACCAGTCCTGCCGGTGTTCTCCGAAATTCAGAGCTTGGAAATCAGTAGATTTGTGAGACGTATAAGAGAGAAACTGAAAAATACAGAAAGCGAGAGATCAGTTACGGGCAAAGACTATATCGTTGATATAATGATTTATTATTTTGTAAAAATTGAAGGCAAATTATATTAGTTTAAGTCAAGTTCCCTCTTTAGGAGAAAGAAACCGTCAACTTTAATTAATGCAACTTAGCGTGACTCGCCATCGCAATAAGAAAGAACACATCAAACGACAAACACCGGCCCTTTGTGCTGAGTTTAATCACTCAAAATTACGGAGCCAGAGTGGCTGGATTGGAATGGCAATAAGTGAGGACGCATACCTCGTAATGCGACGGCAGCGTGTAATTCAAGATAATATTAATAATTGTCTAATCTAAAATTTACGCTACGAATTGATTGCTTGAATATTTGTTTTTCTCCAATACTGTCGACACAAGCTACGAAAGAGAAATCAACTTCCTCGTCGAAGGATTACCCGACTGGATCTGCCGCATTACGCTTCCCGGTTCAGTTCAACACCGTAGAATTCAAGGTATAATCTTTTTTCTTTTTTCATCTATCAATTCACGCGTGCACGTCGTGAACAAACTTTCTACAACCAGATGAGTCGACAACAGCTAGTACATTAAAGTTAGCATAATTAGAGCATGGTACTGACAAGATAAACTGTTTCTTTCTGAGTTTAATTGCGATGCGCCAGTTTTGGTTCCAGTGACAAGCCAGACAAGTTGGTATAAATTTTTAATGAATACCCGAGATCGAGGAAGCACTAAATGAGCCTGTTTAAGGGTTCTCAAACGCAGATTTTTACGTTCCGAGCCCTTCTCGCTTGACTTCTTCCCGGTTTTAGGCACCCTATAATAAAATTACGCTCTTTCTTAATAAGTTTAGCCCGCTAAATTAAAAAAAAAAGACCGTACCACTTAATTTATGCCTATTTTCAATTATGTCTGTTAGGAAAACAAAGCAAAACTCGAAACTGACAAAAGCTACGGGGAGCAACGCAAGCTTCCTCCCGGCTGGCGAACGCCGGAATGAATTATTGCTACTTATTTGTGTATTTATTTAGTTTGATCCTGATGCGCCAGTCAGGAAAGAGTATGCACTACAGATTGTGTTCTACCGCTCAAGAACGCTTCCAGCCAGAAGGTAATGCCAGAGTCAAGTTTCAAGTGTCATAATTGTTTAATCAGAAGTGTATGGCTTACCTTTTAATCCGGCAACCGAATTTTAACATATTCTTTCGGCAAGTTCAACTTATTACGCTTCAAGACAAAGTATGCCTTGCATTTAGCCCAAATAGTACATTAGAAGGCGTTGTCAGAGCGAAAGATTTCGCATATAAGTTGACGAAATTGTTGGTGTTATTTGTAAGCAGCAATTATTAACGACGTTGTAAACTTGACCTGAGACATCGTATTCCGACTCCTCGGATTGCAGTTCTGCAAGAATGGACGAAGGTGCTGAAGCGTCAGCTCTCGTTCACAAAACTAGCTCAGGTAAGCTTTCATCTGGTGCATACTCTTGTATCGTGTCAAAAGCGAGCATGCTGTCTTTGATAACCCTTTGTTGCACGCACAGCCAGAGTACAGCGGAAGGCAACGAGCGCTTGCTGGGGGCGAAGCATCTACTGGCTTCTTAACCTGTCACTGACTATAGAAACATGTATATATGATAGAAAATGTCAAACTCTGGAAGTAATGCTTCCTCTTTGTTTGCTCTACTCTCCTCTCGTCCATCCATTCATTGGGAGAAGCTTATGTTGTTATTATTAGCCTGTGACTTAACTCTACTAATAGTGAAATACCGATCATGGCGACCAAGGTATTTTTCTTCCACGTGTTGATCCGAAGTCCTGCCGGAGCGTGCTATCCAACGCCGACCACACGCATTGCATCTTGGACGACCTGAACGGACTGGATTTGGACGACGTGGCGACGGAAGCATTTTGTTGCCTGGACGACTCAAGAACGACCTTTGACATTGGTACGTCTCTTTTATGATTCCTTAGAGATCTTCTGTAACCTACCATCACGCATCTACCAATTCAACTAAATACCGCAAGGCGAAATAAGTTTTTATGCCTTGGCTTTGAGACTATATCTGACTCCAGGATTTTCTTGAGACGGACGAATCGTTAAGCGAAATATGATCGAGATTGATCAAGATTGCCCATTTACAATAGCTGCTGACTACTTAGGAACTACAAGGATTAATAGTCACAGCACTGATTGGTTCGCCGGCCCCATCAGCTCATCACGGAGCAGCCAATGAGATTGCAGCATCACCCAATCAAAATGTTTAGGAACCAATTTCAAAGTGATTACCTCTAACCACCGATGCATGCTTATTAAACTATGTTGCCTTTGAAAGAGCGCAACTCCTAAACGCACAACGCAGCCCTTGGTTCAGGCATACTTCCTAGTTCATACGCATAACTCTTCCGTGCGCAAATTGACGTTAAAGTATCTGAAACGCAGGACATAGCCAAATGTTGCCAGTCGTCAAGAGAGGGTGACAGTCTCGCCCAAAGTTAATACTTTGAAGTTTGAAAGCAATTTCGTCCCAGGTTGCGACCAGCACCTCGCCAAAGGATGTCACCATGACGTCCTTTGTGTCTTACCAGAAAATACCTGTCCTGGTTTTCTAACATGCTTGGGATATAAAAGTGATGGATACCCAGAACACACTAATGCCCGTTCGTCTCGCTGCAGGCGTGGCTGAGCTCATCTCACTGCTGAAAAAACACGCTTCAGTCGAGGACCTGACGGAGTGGCTGGACATGGCGATGGACAACGCTGCGTTGGTGCGTTCTCTATGTTCTTGGGCGGGATAGTGGCAACTATAAGTGATGACAAACATCATTTATTCGCACTTTCAGGATGTCTGCATCACGAGTGAGAGTAAACAGAGTCGCAGCCACGTCTACAAGGACTTCATGCTTTCCTGGATGCTCTTCTTTTCGGCAATCATGAGACACCTCACCCTTTCAGGATCTCCAAGTTTCGGTAAGCGCTCGTTTCAAATCGTGCAGTGTTGACATGGGGTTGCGAAGAAAGACGCGCGGCGGTGTATATAGATACGGAAGGGAAGTTGGTGCAACGTTGATGACAAGACGGAAATGGCACTCTCCAGTCGGCACAAGGACTTAAAGAAAGAAAACAAAACGTGCTATGAAAGCAAGATAGCTAATCTAGCAGGGTGTGCACACCTGCATCACTCGGTTACGTCTACTGGGCTGTGCGGTGCGTTCTGAGCATGCGCAAAAGCTCTCTTCGCGAAATATCAGACGCCGCGCATGCGTCCGTATCCCAATGACTCGGCATTTTTCACCCGGGTCATGACCCATCATAAACAAGGAAAAGGTGGTCTTCTGCAACTGAAATTTGGATTCGTTGGTGGCAGCGCCTATGCGCGAGTTTCATTCTTTCACGATCGTCCTTTGTGTGCGTTGCTCTCAACGTTTGAAAGATCCCTAATGCCGTATATGACACGACACATGTGCACGTATTTTCAAACCCATTATTTACCTCTCACTCGTATGAAATGGTATTATGGCGTTCTACATGAATCCATGGAATATTAAAACGGGGATCTTCATAGCAAAAATAAACTAAGGGCGCACGCGAGCAGGTGAATATCAACCATGTTGAATTAACCTGAGACTGGGGAAGAAGAGAAATGCTCTTATGATGTTGTTTGATGTTTCTCTTCTTCTCCAGTCTCGGGTTGATTCAACGTGCTTCGCGACGAGCTCATTGAAGAATAGGTCAATGAGCTCGGAGGTCTGGACACTGCACGTGCCCATCAGAGTGCGCTGGTGTGCCGCGATTTCTTTTGAAGGCATTTAAGGCCGCCGTCACACTGCCAACACTGCATACAAAAGACATCCTGCAGTCATTGTCTGAGGCATGTTTGTTCCTTGTATGGCGGTCACATTGGCCATACAGACACTGTCTTCAGACATGTATACCATACGCATCATGTATGGAGCAGTGTGAGCGGCAGCTCTAACCGCTCATTCACACTGGAAGCGGATCCGCGTTCGCAAAGCGGCTGCGAACGCGGTTGTACAAAGATCCAGTACAGTTGCACGCGCACTCGATGACATCAAGTGCGCGTGCTTTTTTGCTGGATCTTTATACCACCGCGTTCGCAACCACTTTGCGAACGCGGATCCGCCTCCAGTGTGAATGAGCTCTAAGTGCCCGTGAAACAGGAGTCTAACTAGCGTCTACGTGTAAGCTACCTGTATAATTTCGATGACTCACCCGCGTCTCGGCTGGGCTCCCAAGGTCACATCCACCTGGTGCGTGTCATGGCTGAGGAGTACATGCTGCTCGCCTTCGAGACGTCGGTGGCAAGGGATGCCCGTCTGCGTCGCCAGGAGGCGGTCCTCTCGCTGGCCTTGCGACCTGGTGAGAAGTTTCAGGGGACTGTAGTCTACGGTGAACAAACCCGCGTTTGCCCACACCTGGTGCGGGCGCAGCGCGTGCGAAGAAACCCGATTTGCGGAAGCCTTCTGCCTTCTGCGGATACGCAGTCCTGTGTGCATTTTTACTACTTTGTCCCAGTTTTTTTTTTTTTTTTCGCCGTTTTGTCGGATGCACAGTGCCAACAGCAGCGCCTCCGCTGTGGCGTGAGGGTTGAGTTCGTGTATACACTGCACTTGCGCAGTGCATAATATCCCTCCCACGCGAAGCCTTCGATAGAGTAAGCTGAAACGACCGAGCGACTACTGAACTATAGTGCGAGGAAAACATGGGGCCGAGAGTGCAACGCCACAATGACTCAGCGCGTTTCTTTTTTCTTTTGTTTTATGGTTTGGGATGGGGGTATAATATACTTCAACGCATCTCGCCTCTACATTTTTGCTACCGCCTATCCGCGCCTTACGCTGGCTCGAATTTATCTTGTCGCGTACTCTCAGTGCACGCAAAGCGTTTTTTTTTTCAAGATCAGATTGAGTCAGATAACACTGGCACCGTTACGGCTAGCTATCCAAATACCGCTCACTTCATTAAGTATAAAAAAAAAAAAAGCTTTGTCACAGATTTGTTTATTAGAGTTCCCACCACGGGGGCGGAATTTTAAGCTTGTGCTTTTTTTATTTGTCACGCAGAGGAACTACGGATCAAGATGGCGTCCGCCTGGGCGGCTCTGAGTTGCAGCAACCGGGAATAGAACAAAAGAGAAACCTCAAGCAATTAATAACGGTTCTCAAATGTCGAGAAACTTCTGAGCGATTTGTCACCGTAGTCCTAATTTCCTGCATTTACAACGTCAAGGCGTGTGGGCCTTGTTCGCGCAATCAATCCATGTAGACATTTTGGCAATGAACACAACGTATATTTAGGCAGAACATAACAACGGTGTTTTGCACTGAACTTCAACTACAGTTGATGGGCATTTTAGGTGCCGTCTGGCAGAGGTACATATCATATGTCTGCTTTGTGCCCTGAAAATTGAGCGGCTCAGTATCATCTTCAACAACTTCACAAAATCTTTAAAAACTTGTCGAACTTTATTAATTTTTATCCAACTGAAATTTATAATTTAGTGTCGTGACAGGGAGATTATTTATAAAAATAACGATGCCCGCCAAGAAGTGTCAATTCGCGTACGCAGCAAATAATTATAAATACGTACGCCAGATGGCGACGCCTGCGTGAATGTGCGCTACCCCGCGAACTTCAAACGACACGCCTGCTTTTTTTAGGGAGCCATCTTAGTGCACGAATACGCTGCCGAAGACCGAATAACGAAGCGCGCGTTAGCGTGTTGCACTTCTATAAAAGAGTTGTTCAAAATTTCGGAAAATTTTTCATGTTTTTCTTTTAGAGTGCGGCGCACATCTTGACGTTTGCAGACGGTCACGTGCGCGCGAGAGTCACGCTTGGGTGCATTGCAGACGAACACTCAGATACGTTTTACTTTTTTACCACTTAGGTTTGTTATTCTTTAGATAACAAAATACACTATTTATGAGATTATAAATGAGTTTGTAAATGAGGTTATGAAGGGCTATACTGTGGTTGATAACAATAAAAAAAAAGAGAAGAAGACTGGTGTTTTGTCTCGTTCGTGTGCATCTATGACCACTCAGTCTTGAGTTTTAGTTTCAAGGCATGCTATTATTTCAGAACATTTAATTACAACCGCTGCTACAAACAATGTAAAATAATTAAAGAAAAAACTGCAACACGATGTTTCAGCATGGAATACGGTAGCGTAACATCTGACGTCATGATGACACGTAGCGAATCTTGCTTGGAGTTTCGGCTACCTCGTGACTTCACAGTGGACATCACTGAAGTCCCGCAGGAGGGGTTCACTTCACGTTGTAACACTTCGTCAGGGTACATGCTGGCAGTGATTGATACCTCTCCCTCCCCGAATTTCCTATACAAAGTACGAAAACCTCTGGTTTGCATCCCCTGCGGAGCCCAACCCAGGAATGCATGACCCGTGTGCATACTCTCCTCCTCTACCACAGAGACTACTCGCAACCATAACGCAACGGTATCGCGTGCCGCGACATCACGATGTCGGTGTCACGTGACGGCGCATTCTCACGTGACACGTCAGTGTCGGGTGACTCACCGTGCCACGTGTGACGTGACATTGTCACGTGAAGTCCCTTGGCACCATGACGCTTTTAGCGGAGACATATTTCACAGCTACACGAAACACAAGCAGTCTGGGGCTTCGCACTGCGCAAGCGCAGAAGTTCTGCACATGCGCAGTGCGACGCTCCCGAGCTGTCCAGGGAACCCGAAAGTTCCACCGTGTCTTCGTATGATACACCGTGTCTTTTGTATGGTGTATGTGCAGTATACCGTCTGTTATATCCAAATTGCCCAGCATTGTTGGCTTGATATATCGTAATAAACACATATTTCCACTTAAGGTGAAGTTCTTAATATATAATTCATTAATTTATTTCCATATAAACTATGGTCACCTAGTATGGGGCACAACTACTTTTTACTAACTGTAAAAAATATTCATTTTGCAAAAAAAGATATTAAGAAGTATTTGCAAAGTCCCACTCGAATATCCAATGGATTCACTTTTTACTCAACTGGGTGTAATTAAAATGTTTGATTTGTATAGATATCGCCTTTGCGCGAAATATACGTAAAAAAATAAAATATATTTACATTTTATTTATATCGGCATGTACATCATCTTGAATATATAGCGAATCTAACACAAAAAGTACACTCGTACCAAACGCCCATTCTGCAACCCTGGCAAGTGCCTCTTTTTAGAACAAATTATGGCCATTATACTATAGCATACACACTACCGACCATCCTTAACAACCTTCATATGCACAACATAGAACTTGACACGCTATTGGTGGGTACCTTGCGGGACATGATACTCTCTCGGCAGATCGGCCACGATTGAATGGTGCCTTTGTGTGTATTTTCTGAGTATTTTTTGTAAAGGGGAATATGCTTGGGTTTTGTATATTGTACAATTAATTAACATAGACTATTTTTGTGGTTTTTCCTTGAATGATGTGGGACAATGCTCTTTCTTTTTTTTTTTTTTGTCTACTCTTAAATATTGTATGCCAGACTTTTTTTTTTGTAGTGCCTTGAATGATGCATGGAAGTGACGTTTTTCTATAGTGTGCGCTTATTTGCTTTTGTTTCATATATCTCATTGCCGACTGTTCAATCTTTTCTTTTTAGCGTCCTCAGTGTATTTCCTTTTTTCCATGCACGCTGCTTGTAGCTGCTGAAGTTATGGGGGCTTAGGACTAGTCAAGCTGTATAAACAACTTTTTTTCCAAAGCCCCCACCAACACTGTACCTTTTGTTGGAAAATAAACCTATTATTAGAGAGTTTTAGGGAACCGTTTTTGCACATCCGACACGGTACGATGCGCCCTCCGGTACGAACTGCGCATGCGCCTGTCTTCTGCGATCTTACCGTAATGCGCTGTAGGAACCGTAAGGCACGACCGGCACGACCAATGGCCGACATGGACAGTCTCGCTTCGTTAGCAAAACGGCTATTTCGCTGGCGGAGAGAGCGTGCCGTGGCTCCAAACATGAATAAAATAAATCGTGGCAGTGCCTGGCAGGAGCGCCATGTGCGACAGAAAGTCCATAAAGTTTGAGTCAGCAAATAAGAAGAAGAATAAAGAACAAAACGCAATAGGACTTTTTCAAAAGAAATAAATTGCTGTTTAGCGCAGCCATAAAGCGTCTGCTTGGTAGCTCTGTCAGCTTCCGAAGTGGAAGGACGCATCGTCATGAGCTCCGTAAGAGCGGTTTCAACGGCTACTGATAGCCGTGGTATCACTGCTGAACGAAGGGACGAGGCTGCTTATCGTATCATCCTGCCTACGCTGCCGACAGGCGTATATGCCCTGAACTCCGTTTTTCTTCATGCCGACGTCGGCGCACGGCCCTACCGTATCGAGGACTTCAAGGACGGACTGGAACATGCCGGAGTCCTAGGAGACATCGCAGCATGTGGTTCGTACCAAATGAACCACGTGTGGATGGTCACCCTCAAGTCACCCACGGCCAAACAAAGGTTGGTGGATGCTCAGGCTTTCGAGGTCAAGGGCAGGCGGTGCCTTGTTATCGATCCGGACAAGGCGGAAGTGCGGCTGAAGTTGCACTGGATACCCTTTTATATACCCGATGACAACGTGAAGAAAGCCCTGGAGCAGTATGGCAAGGTCGAAGAGATAGCTAGAGAGACCTGGCGTGTCAACGGGTTTGAAGGGGTGCAGTCGACCACGAGAGCGGTGAGGTTAACGCTAAAAGACGGCGTCACCACCGAACAGCTACCGCATCAACTCCGACTGTCTGGATGCACTGCGTTAGTCATCGCCCCAGGAAGGGCACCGCTTTGTTTGCGGTGCCGAAGGACCGGCCATATTCGTAAGGAGTGTCGTGTTCCCCGGTGCGAAGGCTGCCGACGCTACGGGCACACCAGACAGGAGTGCATGAAGACATACGCTGACGTGGTCAATGCCGCGATGGAGGACGAAAAGGCCGACCTTCTGATGGACCAGGCGGAGGCCGAAGAGGCTGCGGGTGGGACCCCCTGGAATCTCGAATCCCAGGGACGGGCCAACACCACCGCAGACGCCCCTACCCCCCTCCCTGCGACGCCGTCCGCGGCAGAGCCGCCAACGACGGAGGTTGACACTGCTGGCCCACCAGTCGATGAGTCAGCTGGTCGGCTGCCGTCTCAGGAACCTGAGCGAGGGGACCAAGACACCCGCCCAACATCCGAGGCATCCAAAGAAGACGATCAGCATGACTCGGCTGACGCCATGGAAGCCCTGGAAGGCTCTTCCAAGAGACCTCTGGAGCAGCGGCCAACCCAGGACGACGGACAACTGACGACGCTTCAGGGGAGAATGCATGAACGGTGGCAGGCGGTGATGGCCAAGAGGGGCCGATACCGGGCACTGTCACGAACGCCGACGGACGATCAAGCGCCGAAGGAGGGACAGTGAACTGTATGCGGCTGCAACTCCTGTGTTGTGTCTATGAAGGCAAGCAAGTAAGCAGGTTGAGGATTTTCAGTTTTGTAGGTGTAATCTTTGTGGTGTATAATATTGGTTACCGGTAATAATGGGGTCCGTATTGCGATGAAATCAAAATGGCTATCAGTTTCGCCACCTTGAACGTTCGGGGGTTGAACTCGACAAAGAAACAGTACCAATTGCAACGTCTGCTATGTGATGAGCAGCCGGATTTCCTCGCAATACAAGAGACAAAAATGGCTGAAGACAATGACATTGCTAGCGCTTTGAGGCCTTTTCTTTTTCGCTATGAAGCGTGTGTGAGTCGTGCCGTGGGATTCTCGGCTGGATGTTTTCTTTTTCTCAAAAAGTCCGTAAACCTTGAACATTTGCAGGTGGTGTCTGATGAGCAGGGTCGTTTCATTTCTTGTGACTTCACGTTGTCGGGCGTACAGTGGCGTGTGATTTGTGTATATGCTCCGAACAACGTACGACAAAGAGAGCAGTTTTTCCAATTCTTGCGCAGTTACGTGGAATGCGATAAAGTTCTGGTTGTATTAGGCGATTTTAACTGCGTTTGCGACGAACGCGATAAATCCTCGCGGACGAGATATAGTGATAGCAGTGTAAGCATTTTGAAAGATATTATTGACACGTGTGGTCTCGAAGATGTAGGCGC